AACTCACAGCAGGAACGCCACTGAGGTCGGCTCCTTGTCATGTCAGCAAGTGTATCCAGCCGAAGATAGGATAATCCCATGAATGTTCCTTCTTTTGCCTATCGTTGGATCGGGAGTTGATAGGTCGGCGTGAAACAAAGACCGCATCACACCCTGTCCAACCGATTACTGCCCACATTTTCCTGCACAGCAGTCCCTGTCAGGCTGGTTTCTCTGAAATAAGAGAGTGCACGGTAAGCTACGAAAACAAGAGGAGGAACGCCACTTAAATAATAATAATACTAAGATGTGAGAAGAAAGTAAAAACGAACGGAAGGTTGAAGATACAAGTCGGTTAGGAGAAGGGGAAGGTTTGGTGCTGCCACCCAAGAGCCTCTAACTGACACTCGAAACTCTCAACCGTAGACTCCCTAACGGCGTGCTCCGGAAGCGAGTTCCAACGTTCAATAACCCGGCGCAACAAGCGAGTTTCCGTCCTTACCCGATCAGAACGCAGTTTGTGCAGCTTCAGTGGGTGACCTCGGAGACTAGGCAGCTTGGCAGGGCTAAATAGCCAGGACAAGTCTGGACGGATCTTACCCATTAGGATATGGTAAGTGAGGGTCAAGTCTCCTCCAATTCTGCGGTAGTACATACCTATGCTAAGTTAACGTTCGGGATACGTTTGCCCCCGTAATCCTTGCACTAATATTGTACCAACTCACAAAACACTCTCCAGTTCCATTTTGTCCCTTACAAGAGAAGGTGGACAAGCCTAGATACAGTATTCTAAGTGGAGGCGCACAAAAGCTGAAAACAGCTTCACAAAGATATTGGCCGTTAGGAAACCGAAGGAGTGGCGAATAAACTACATCATACGGAACCTACTACAAGCAGCCTTCCTCCAATTGTCCCCAGAGTGAAGCACTGAGGTGTGGATTACACCTAGATCAACCTGCTGAGTGACAACAGTGATTCCACTTCCACCAACTACATAGCGCGTGGGTGGACTAGCACCTCCAATGCGGAGGACAGAACATTTCACCTGATTTATAGGCATCAACCATAAGGTTGACCAATTCCAGAGTCTATCCAAGGCGCTCTGAATTGTCTCAGAACTCCCAGGGATATCCACAGTATTCAAAAGCTTGAGGTCATCAGGAAAAGATATCGACGGTACTTCAAGCTCCTGGAGTAGATCATTGACATAAATTGCAAAAAGCAACGGCCCTAGAACCGAGCCCTGCGGAACGCCACTAAGAACAGCTTGTCTAAGCGAAAGGCTACGTCCCACTCGTATACACTGTTCTCTCCCCTCTAGGAAAGCAGACACCCATTTAAGGGCGGCTCCAGATATCCCATACGATCTCAACTTTACTGAGAGTCGTTGATGTGGGACAGTAACAAAGGCTTTCGAGAAGTCAAGGAAAAGCACGTCGATGGCGTGACCGTTGTCTACTGCCTCAGCCCAGCTTCCACGGGCTGCAAGTAAATTTGTCAGACACGAAAATCCATTACGGAATCCGTGCTGTGCCGCACTGAGAGGGTTAAACTTAATCAGCTGATTCTCCACCGAATCCATGATCAATTTTTCAAACAACTTAAGTACTACGCTTGTCAAGCTGACAGGCCGGTAGTTTGCGGGCAGAGCACTGCCACCACCCTTAAAAATCGGACAGATGATTGCCTCCTTCCATTCCGAAGGTAAGGCTCAGCTGTCGAGCGATATTGTGAACACGCATGTCAGAGGGCCACTTGACTCAGCTGCCAATTCATGCATCAGCTTCGGATGAATTGAATCAGAGCCAGAATCTTTGGAAGGATTTAGCCCTTGCAATATCCCGAAGACTTGTGTCTTCGTTATGCTGATTTCAGTTAGACAAGAATCCTCCGGGATTTTTGTGACCAGCTCAACCTGAGGTAGAGGCCTCACGAGCAAAGACACAAAGTATACTGTTCGCTAAGTATACAAGTTTTATCATAGTCGGTATGTCCAAGGACGCTGCGCCCGTGCCACCCGTCTCTTAATGACGGGTGTGGGGAGCAGATATCTCTGTGAGGTATGCCTTAAATTTCTCCTAGGCTGTCTCAACGGTGTCAGCAACGGTGATCGCGCAACGTAGAACTGAAGCTTTGTCTCGCATTGTGTTAAATTCTGCCCGCCAAATATGTGGACCTGCCTCAGCGGTAGCTTGATGACACTTAGTTAGAGCACATCGAAAGGATATGCAGACATGGTCACTGGCTCCTAGAGAACAGCCGTATGTAATATCACTTATGAAATCGTGTGACTTCGCAAACATGAGATCCAAGGTAGACGGAAGTTTGTTGCTCATATATCTAGTCGGGAGGTCCGTAAACTGATGCAAAGGAAGTTGCAACGTTAGCTCAAAGAGATCCGAACCGAAAGTGCCCACCGCCAAATTGCAAGATAGATCAGCTCAGCAGACTTCAGTGAGGTTGAAGTCACCCAGTATTAGACACCTATTGGCAGTCTGAATACGAATAAATTCAATAACCTCCCTGGAGATACTTCCAGGACTTAGATATACCACTACAACTGTAAACTGAGCAGAGGAAGTGCACACAGTAGTCGACAGGGCTTTAACAGTTTGATCTGGCGACTGAAAAACACAGGTCCTCAACACATCTAGTTTACAACTCACATAAAGAGCGACGCCCCACCTTGGCGGCCAACAGAACGATCACATCTAAGCAGTGCGTAGCCAGGTAAACATACTTCTACGTCTGTGGTATCCGTGGACAACCACTTTTCAGTGAAAGCATGTCGGGACGAGATTTGTCTGCAAGTAGACCCAACTGGTGCACCTTGTTCTTTAGGCTACGCATATTGATAAGCACTACCTGAAGGAACTTGGCACGACCATCCCTGGGTCGTGCGCCATCAGGATGGGTTCTGATAGGGCGGAAAATAACTTCCGGCTAACCACCTGAAAACTCACCAGACGAAGGCTTTGCTCACCAGCCGCCCGCCTGCTCTTGAGGCTTTGATGTTTTTTTTTAACTTCAGTCGATCTGCTAGTGGAAGGTCCGGCTGAACGCTGACATTACTACCCTTGAGTTTGAATGCAAAGCACATTAACGCTTTACGTTCCTCCGAGGTTGAGAGGATTACACGAAGTAGTTGGGGCCGCGGATTAGCCGTACCGATAGGGACGTTCCCCATTCTCGTTACCTTTTTGATAGTGACACCAGGGAAACCAGGTGGGAGCATCTTGTTGACGCAGAGCTTGAACCACTGGAGGTCATCCAGCATGCGTTCTTTGGGAAGAGCTGCCGCGGATTCAGCAACGTTAAAAAAGATAACGCTACTATCAGTAAAAGAATTACCTCAACGAGGCATATTAACTCCACGAGTCTTCGACTCGCCCCCAGTTTCGACCGGTTTGGCAGGTGACACATTGCGTTTCTTCGCCAAGGGAGCTGGAGTAATTGAAGTTGAGGCTTTGTGTTCTACCTCCAACTCTCTCACCGGTCTAGTGTTTTCAGACTCTGTGGGTGTGGTCGAAGTCGACACGGCGCGTTTATTCGCCAATGGAACTGGGGTGATTGAATTTGGAGCTCTGTGCTCCACCTCCAATACCTTTATTGGTTCAGTACCTTCAGGCTTAGAGGGGGACTTACGGACTTTCTTAGCTCTCTTCCTCTTGCTTTTATTGGGCACAGGAGATAGAACATCGGTCTTGCTTTGAACGACGTCCAGTACGGCAGCAAAGGCCTCTTTAGGGGCATTCTAGACCGCTGGGGCACACGACATGGCAGCCATCACCTCAGTCGGATTCTCATCGACAGCAATTGAGGTTAGTTGCATGGCTTCCTCCAATGAGCCGACAAAAATAGACTCCCATTTTCCTCATAAGTAACTCCGCTATGCGATCAAGATGTGAGGAAAGACCACATCTGCTAGTTACCCAGCCCGACGTTGCTCGATGTCTCTTCAGTGACCTCAAGACGCGTAGATCGACGGCTACGGCATAAAAGACAGTTGAACAGCATGCTGTCGCTACTCGAGAGCATTGCGTACTGATCAGGGCTCAAATCGGTACAAGTCTCATGGTACCGACAGTTGCATACACAGCACTGCATGCCACCAGACTCGTCCGTCACGGGCTCTGAGCAACTCCCGCTACCGCATACAGCATTAGATTCGCTGATCAACGCAGTCGAGGACACATTAGCGCCGGTATTCCGTGAATCCGACATGACGCTTTCAAAGAGTGTGAATCAAGTATCAAACGTAGAACCGACAAGTTGTTACCTGCAGGACAGTCAACAGAAACAGTTACGGGTTAAAACAAGGTGCAAAACGGATTACAAAACATAAAAATACCAGAAAAATAGCCAGGGGCTGAACCCGAAAAAGATGAACGAAGTTTGGTGAATAGCCGAAAATGGGTATAACGTAATCAGGGGAAAACGATGATCCAAAATTATTTGGATCAAGCGAAATTTGACAGTCAAATTTTTTTGCACGACACTTGTAAACACTGTTCCGAAACTGTTCTTTGAACGTAAAACAAAAATTTCAATTTACCCCCAAGGAGAAAACCGACAGTATTCTGAGGTTTACTTTTCGTGCTTCATGCAACTACCTGATTGTTAGATGCTGCCATAATTTAATTACTGCTTTCAGATTGCGCTGCAGTTGAGCGTCATCCAGATTACACTATCATGGTGCGACAGATGAATTTATTTGTTAGGCACCTACTGTTGCGATTAAGAGGGCTGTGACGTCTGCAGCATCACCGTTACTTCTTTGGTTTGATGGTGAGCACTAACGACTGAGTTGCCCACTGTCCATCGTTCCGTGCTCGGCCTCTAGCAGCGCCTTTCTCGCAGCTTCTTCACGGATTTTCATTGCTCTCTTTCATTTACTTTACGCAGAATGTCCACCAATTTTGAATCCTCGAGCCACCGGTGCTTTGCGTTATTAGCTATCTACCTACCAGAACTACCAATATCACTATCGCTGTTTACTGAATTAACCTTTACTGTTTACAGACTACGCATGAGCTGCACTTGCTCACAAGAAAGTTACATAGGTTATTAATGGTTCTTTGTTTAAAAACTCGATCGTGGTTCGCATTCCTCATGCTTCCACTTCGCTCCCGGAATCTAGTTTCAAACTCCACTGTTTAATCAATAGTATGACGATTTCGAACCTAGAAAACAGTGATGTCCTGGATACCAGTTTGGCCAGATCGTTTTATACGAAGTATGAGATTGAAAATGTTCTTGGCTCTGGCGCAAGCAGCACCGTTCGGAGATGCGTGGAGAAAAAGACCCAAATGGAGTTCGCTGTCAAAATTATCGATTTGAATAGCGGCGTCGATTCTCCCGATGTCATCCGTTCTGAATGTATGCGAGAGGTCTCCATTCTCCGCTGTGTTGCCGGTCATCCCAACATCATCGAGCTTCACGATGTTTTCGAAGGTGACGCTTACATATTTCTTGTATTTGAACTGTAAGTGTGGTTTCTTTTAAAACTAATCTTTGTTATCAGGTGTCAGGGTGGTGAGCTGTTCGATCACCTCACTCGATGTGTGACAGTGTCGGAAAAGCGAACAAGAACGTTTATGCACCAACTCCTCGACGCTGTGGCATTTATTCACAAGAATGAAATTGTGCATCGAGACTTAAAACCTGAAAATATCCTTCTTGATGCCAATCTAAATATTAAGCTTTCGGATTTTGGCTTGGCTGTTATGGCAAGTGATGAAGCCGAATTGAAAGGTGTGTTTTTCACCTGGTGAGAACGGTCTCTTTTACCCCACTCTTTCTCTCTGAAACCATTCGGACCATTTTCGCCCCAATTGCTCTATTCCCTATGTATATTTTTTATCTCATGATATCCCAGTTAATCATGTGTCGCTTACACATACGAAGGTGGGCTTTTAGGCGCTAGAAGCGAGTTCCTTGTAGTCTCATTTGCTCCAACTGGTCGCAAGTACCTGTAAAGTATTCATGCTTACCAATACTGTCTATGATTTTTGCGATCGTCTTTGGTATGAATCTTCGAACTTGTCATCTGTGGGCTGCTAAAAGTTTCTTGAACCTGACGTGATAAGAACAGTCTTGACTGCTTGGCCTTTTCGTGTGCTGTCGCAGAATTACAAAAGATTGACGACCGTTACTTATACTTAAGAGCCTCATCGTTTCATCTAGTATTATTTGGTTCAGGTAGAGAATCATCACCTCTAGACTCAGTTAGACGGTCATCACAAGCCCGAAAAAGTACTGTACGGCCGTTTCATCCTTTCGCGTGAGAGAGCCACCCTGTCATCTGCACGGCAGTGACGTGCAAGTCACTAGATAGTGAGTGGCGCTATAACTAGTAACTTAGTCACGACGGTCGTTACTGTCCCTCGTAGGTCAGTGGTTTCAGCCACAGACTGGCAACAGTCGAGTTACAATTTCGAACCTTGCAAAGGCCGAACGGAATGCGGTGCTGACGATTCCCGAAAGTATGGCTATCTGACTGAGTCTAGATGTGATGAGTTTCTAGCTGTACTATTCAACTCCCCCTATTACTTTCAATGTGAATTATGTATGAGTACGCTGACCAGTCTTTGCGAATTTGCCTCTCATTTACTACGGATTGAAAACTGGTTCACCATGTATGCCACTATTTTAATAAACCTTAAAGATGTTGAATTATGGCAGGTAACCAAAGATGCTCAAGATTCCACATTGTCTTTTTCCTCCAAACGTTCCCCCTACCGTTTCTCGAGGGGTTCGCCTAAAGCTATCAGCAACCATTAGCTTGAAATTGGTATCGTGACTACAGTAGTCGTCCTAAGGCTTTCTTAACATCGTACTTTAGCATTAAAAGTGAGCCGGCCTATGTAAAGCATACTCGTTGATTAATTACTTTACCATATTGCCTGTCACGGTTCGCTGGCATGTACATGCAAGTACCTCCAGACCGTTTTCTGCTCGCATCGGTAACGATTGGGTGTTGCCGTACATCTTCAAAGTTAAAGCAATCCACAGCAATAGCTTTCGTAAGCCTACATCCGTCCTTATGTGTGCTTCATCGATGAAGCATTGTGTAGCAAGCATGTGAAACGCTGCAAAACCTTTAATACTATCCAAATATCCACGATATTACAAAACTTTGGCGAAGCTTGTATCAGGAAAACATTCCCGCGAAAGTAAGGATGAACACCGTTGCTCGGTGACCATTCTGGTCTGAGGTAAAGTACTTCGGAGTTCGTTGGAGCACTCTAATAGGGCCGGTGTAAGAAGGCTGAAGAAGACGATGCACTGCGTCTGTGCGAACGAATACGTGTGTGCAGCTAGAGTTCACTGTGCATTTGCACATAACTGTTCTATTCACAAAGAGAGCTCGGGAGCCGTAAACGCTTGTGTTAAGAGGGAAGATGCGAAATTTACAATAGCGAGGGGGGCACAATGAACTCTCTTGACAGATTAAGTGTTGTGCCTTAAACCAGCTCTGCTTGTGCACACTGCAGATGAGCTTTGATACTGTTGCGAGTACCTAGAAGTACCAGTGAAATGTTTTCCTTTCTGTTAGGGTTAGATGTGTCACAAAGCTGTCAATGGAAGCATTCGACTAGGCCGTTCACTGCTGGGTGATATGCCGTCGTGGATACGTAGGCAGCCTAAGAAGTTGCATAACGTGTCGAACTGCGTAGATTCAAAAGGTGTTCCACAGTCGGTTGTGATGGTGCGTGGGCATCCATAGTGGGACACTCAACGATCCAAAAAGCACGGATGACAGTTTTGGATGTCCAGTCTGGTACAGAGATGGCTTCTGGTCATCTATTGGAGTGGTCGACACATGTCAATGTGTATACGCAGCCACAATGAGGCAAGGGTCCTCCAGGTCTAAGTGTACGTGCGCAAATCCGGGGCAAGAAATGAGCCGAGAGGACTCCGGATGTGTCGATGTACATTGGAGCACTGGCAGCAAAGATAAGCTCGGACCCAGTTACGAACATCTTTGTTTACGCTTGGCCAAACGAAACGCCCGGTGACCAGTTTTAACGATGCCCGAATACCAGGATGAGACAGTGGTGAAGGGTCTCGAAGACTGTGCGTCTGAAAGTGGTGGGTACGAATGGTCTAGGACAACCTGTGGAAGTGTCGCAAATGATAGTTCCGTCCGCAGTTTAGAGAGGGACTGGTTGCACATGCAGTGAAGTGGACTGCAGGGTGCGTTCGAGGTCTTCCTCTTGGGCCTGAGCTGATGCCATGGCGGCGAGGTCAACAATGGGTGAAAAGTGACGTTGACTTGAGAGAAGGAGCGCTGCGACGGGGTTGGCGACATCTGAGCCGTGGCGTATGTCAGCAGTGAACTGCTTCACAAAGTCTAGGTGTCTGGTTTCCCATGGTGAATACTTTTCAGATGATCTAAATGCAAAAATGAGACGCTTATTTTCAGTGTAGACCGTGAACACTCGCCCTTCTTATATGTGTCGGAAGTGACGGATAGCTAAGTAGATGGTGTGCAGTTCTCTACCGAACGTTTTGCAGCGGAATTGCGCTGTTTGCAAGCGTTTGGAGAAGAAACCGCAAACGTGTTGTAGAACAGCTCTTACTGCAGCATCTGAAGTGTCACTTGTAAGACGGTTAGGAGTGAGCGAGGAGAGCCATGTTGGACATCCTTAAGCTCGGTGATTATCTATGCTCTGTCGGAGAAATCGAGCTTAAGATCCTTTCCTCTCCGGTCAGTCAGAGACTGCATGATTTGAGCGTCGATAGTAGTCGACCATACCACGAAATCGACATAGGTGCTTAAACAAACTCGGAGCTGGGAAGTCTTTAATAGCCTGGGTCTTGTCTGCACGTACCTCAATACCAGACGATGAGACGTCGCTTAGGAATTCTGTGGTTGCTTTGCCAAGTTCGCATTTAGTCTGGTTAACGGTGGCGCCGTGTTGTGTCAACCGCTGGAAGAGTGATTGAAGATGAGGTTGGTGCTCTTCGTCAGATGAACTGCCCACTAGAATGTCGTCGAAGTAGGGGTGAGCAAAGTCTAGCCCACGCGTTACGCCGTGGATGAAGCGTTGAAAGCTTTGTGCAACCTTACACAATCCGAAAACCATCCTTTAAAACTCGAAGAAGTTGAAGGAGTGATGACGGTTGTTTTAGGAATGTCTTTTCTTCTACGGATCCCCTGTGATAACGATCAAGATATATCTTACTGAAAACTGTTTTACCTGTGAGGCATGCAGTAAGGTCCTGTCTGTGTTGGATGGAATACCTGTCGGAGATGGTATGTTTAGTCCCCGGTGGTCAACTGTTAGGTCAGACCAAAGTCAAATGCACACAGAAACGAAACAAATTGACTTGTTCGGGAATAACAGTCTCAGTTACAATTAGACTAGAGTTTTTCTGTGTGGCAGAACATTTGTCACAATCGCTTGTTTCATACCACTCACATGTCCCGTGATTCATTGAGATCGATAAATTCAAATTAGCACTCAGCCGTGATTTGAACTGTAATCAGAGTGTTTTCATACTCACGTCCGCCCGTGCAGTGTTTCGCAAATATACTTCCTGTCCGGTGCGTTGTCTTTTGATTCGCGTGGCGCAAACTAAGAAGCTGCTAAGTCGAACCTCTGGGGACACAACATCAACACAAAGACGCCAGTCCTCAGATTTCCTTGGGACCATCAGTAAAACAACTAGACGATCGGAAGATGCAAACAAGAATAAAATTCGATATCTCCAAATGCCGGATGTGTTAGTGTTTCACATTCGGTGCAGGCTTTGGAAAGTCTTGGCAATGCTTTCTATACTTTCTGCTGTGACGCGACCGCTAAAGCTAACACAGATACCCCGATGTTTAGGTCGATCAACCACTTCCATCGAGTGCTCGGTGGTAAAGAGAACTGGAGGTCAATCATGTAACAGCAGTTTTAAGTTGAAACACGTCAGTCTATTCGGGAACGTCTGTATTGCAGCTGGGCCAGATCCAGTGCGAGTTATATGTCGTATGTGTAATCTAGGTTTGCCAATTTGTTATCTAGCAAAGTTTCTAGTCCACGAGAACTCTGAAGAAGCAGGAGAGCTTCAATCATGGTCGCTTCTTCCACAAATTTGAAGGGAACTAGAGAACTGGTAATTGTGTCAAATCTCGATTATCCTATCGAAGTCAGAAAAGAGTGACCCATGTACTCTTCAAGACCTCGGGATTCGTGGTATGAAGATTTGAATTGGATGAAACTTCTCAGAGATGAACACTGCCACAGACAAGTGCAATCAGCAGAATTAAGGGTTACCTCAAGTCAGAACCGTCATGATGTGACGATTGGATGCCTTATGAACAGCATGACTATGGTCAATGCACAACTTACCGGGACCAAGTACAGCCTAGCTTTCACAGATTGTTCTCTCACGAGGATCAATGAGTCAGCGCAACATGTTAGTAGTTTGGAGGCACTTGAGACCAGACTAATCCAACGATGATCCGGATACGGGTTTTTTAAGTATATGAATGACGGTTAATGACCTCCAATCAAGGCACTTATTTCTTGCACCAAATAGTTCAGAGAGGCTATGACAGCCCCTGGTAAACCGCCGCCGTCATTCAGTTACAACCGGAAGTCTGTCTAAATTTGGCACCTTGTTCAGCTTCAACTTGTGTTCTATGGTCAGTGCCAAGGACTATTAGTAGACTGAACATTTTTGACGACCGATGCCTGTGCAGTGTTGTTCGTGTATGGTAAGAGAACGGATGTTTAGCACTGCAATTCGTTATCCAGGGTTTGGAAATAAGCTCTCTGGTTCGCCAATTGAGTGCCTGTTGAGCTGTATTGAGTTGCTTAACGGGTTAACTAGCCAGAGGGGACGTCATTGCAACGAGACCACCTTGCGCGCGTGTTTCGGAGACAACATCTTTCGTTTGAAGAAAATGAATAGTGTACTCAGCACTGCTAGTTAGCCGAGTTGACTTAAGGCACGTTCATTGAAGTAACTTGTGTGGAATGGGACTACCTAGTTACATCACTGTTTTAAGCTACGAAGTTTGTGCTGTCCATTGACCTAATAACCTGGAGAGAAGAGGTGCGAGAGAGAAGAGTAAGAGAAAAGAGCACTCGATGTATTCTTGTAGATTGATGATCCTCTCCGGATGTCCCTTTCCAGGGAGATTTTCTAGGTGCCCCACTCCAATCCGCACTGAGGACGAAGAGTCTCTAAGCACTACCCATGCGTTGTTAAATTGAGTTTAGTCGATTCCGCGTGGAGACAATAAATCGACTCGGTTCCATAAACCATTTTCATTGGTTGGTAAGCCTCACTTATCGGTTTTTCAAAATCAAACGGTTTGTTCAGCATAAGCAAAACCATAACACGTTTGACCTGCACAACTCATCGATCCATCTTGTTCGTGCACTTCCATAAACAACAACGTTTTTGAGCCGATGAGGTTCTTCTTTACTTCAGTTAAACAAATTACATAGGACTCGTCGCATTGCACACAAACATCAGTCAATCAGCAAAACCGTGTATGCGGGCGACTGCGTCCCATTTTTGAATCTGTCGAGTTTTTTCCCTTTGCCTTAGATCCAGCTGGTGAGATACACCCATCAAATTCCCCTTCGGTGTATACTTTACGGGGATGAACGAAAAATTGGATGATTAATTCTTTCTTGATCTAACGCACGCGATGAATTATGGATTTGTAGCGCAACATCACTTTCACTCTAAGGGCTGTTGGAAAATGATCGTTGTCACAATGGTTTTCGCATTGAGTACTTCTCTGGTGCCTATGTTTCAGGACTCTTCATTCTCTTCTAATAGGATTATGATGTATTGTTGAACAAATTCATGATCTAGGTAGGGTCCTCGCATCGCCTTCAAGAGGTGAACCTACTGGTCGGTCATCGAACGTTTGCAATCGACTTGGTTTCCCTTGCATTCATGGATGCATCTTACTATAGCTTCGCTTCAGTTCCACTGGTGATGACCTAGCCAGTTGGCTGGCACTATTTTGATATCCTCGGGAAGCTCCGGTTATTTTCATTACGATTATTTCGCACCGTAAGCGGATTGCTGTTTCCCATCTCATGCTTTACCACACTCGGATTTTATCCGCCCCCACTTTTGGTTAAGAACCAAAATGCAAGAAGTAATGAGACTACTGAATACTTTTATTTCCAGAAACGCGTGGAACGCCAGGTTATCTGGCTCCCGAGGTGCTCAAAGTGGGTTATTACGATGACCAACCGCCCTACGGTCAGCCGGTGGATATGTGGGCGTGTGGTGTAATTATGTACACACTGCTTGCTGGTTGCCCTCCATTTTGGAACCGCAAAGAGCACCTTATGCTGCGTCAAATCATGGAGGGTCGTTATTCTTTCACAAGTCCTGAATGGGATGATATAAGTGAAACGGCTAAGGATTTGGTGAGTTCACAGGAACAACCCACCGGACTTGCACTCTGATATTTTTTAGTGGTTCTTAACGTAGGACTCGTGATTGTTGTGGTTTATAAAGTATCCGCTTCATAAACCTGTACTGTATTTTGAGACCAGCGGTAATGGTCGGTAGTCCAATGTCTTTTCGAAGTTGGTTTGCCGACACACTAAAATAGTTGTGTATCCATACTTACTCTTGTCATCCTTCCCATCATCCATGGAAATCGAGCTTCAAAAGCTGTCGTAGCGTATTTTTTTTACTGGCTTATTTGTGAAGTCACTTTTTACGCGTTATTCTAGGTCCGCCGGCTTTTGGTCGTGAACGCTGAGGATCGCATTAAAGCGTCAGAAGCTTTGAAACATGATTACTTTTCACAACCGGTAAGCTTGGTGTGCACATGGTGACGCCATTAGCTTTTCATTGGTGCTTATCCTTGCTGATGGTTACATCTAGAAGGCCGCCGCTGATTAATTGTTTTGAGCGCTTACGTTCGGATGGACTGGCGCGCTTTAAAACGGCATCTCGGAGTTGAAAATATGAGTTAATTGGATTGGTGGCTGCTAGAATGTCTCCTAGATCTGCCACTATTTCTGCTCGGAGAATTGTTAGAATTGCCCGAAGAAATCGTGAGAAAAGACACAACACGAATTAAGTCTGGCCGAACAACCCTTATTTAGACCCGAAAAACTATATACTTATCTAAGAGATGGACAAAAGCAGGCTGTGGCATACCTGCTTTGTTATCCAAACCCGATCCATCGCAATGAGGCTAGACCATACCGTGGTGCAATAGTTTGCGTGCCTCAGCGATCCATTGAGCTATGCTTGGTGGTGCATTTTCAGAGCCACTCACACCAGATTGGTAAATGATTAGAGGCCAGAAAATCTCAGTCTCCTGGTCCTACATGTTTGGGGTTGGCGTGGGGGTGGCTTCTTATTCCTCAAAACGAAATCCTTGTAGTCCATAGCGAAACCTGCTGCCTAACGGTCAGACTTTGAACCAAAGGCTTTGACTGCGAGCCCTAATGGGTAGCCTGACAGGATCCTCCCCACCTACTACAACCTAGTGATTACTTTCAAATGATTTATTGATGCCCTGGCCGGCGCCCTATCTGTTACATCGAGCAGGATGGATAGAGGTTTGGATGTTACTGCTCAACATTTCCTGTCTTCTTCGCACAGCAACTTTCTTTCACGATCAGACAATGTCAAGCTGTCCACTTCTTTGCAATCATTGCATCTGTGGTTTAATTGTACGATGCTTTACCAATGTACAAACAGCTGTCCCAGTTGACGAGTGTATTGCTCATTTCCAACGTTGCATTCACTTCACGACTGGCTTCGCGTTTGTTTCAACCTCTTGCGCATAGATTATTGGGAGTAGAGCTCAGAACTGAATCGAGCAGATTACCAGTGTTTTAGGGCTGTGCCGCTGGTCTCAGCGACCTATCTTCTCTATCTCCACAGTTCTGACTATCTTTGCCTGCAGAGTGGAAACAGGGACCATCCCGCTGGTGGTTTGAGCGCAATATTGGGAGCGAACAATATATGACACTTGTCTACTTCGCATACGCGGTCCATCTGATCGAGATTGGCTTCATTGAATCGCGGCATACTTCAAGGTTGCATATCAGTGCCTTAAATCGGCTACCTACAATCGACCGGATGCTTATTTTCTTTATTCCGTGTTTCCTCTTTGGTCACTTAAGGTCAGCACTTTTCATCATGTGATCCACGGAAAACGTTAGCTATTTGTACCACAAAAAGTCCCCTACCAGACACAAAAATTCTATATCAATACACATTGTGCTGGGTAGCTAGCAACATGGACGAGTATCACCGCGTTCCGATCTGGAGTCAAATCGAAACATTTAGGTATTCTGTTAATTTGATTACTCAACCACACTGTGCCAAGTGTTGTTTTCCTGTTAAATCTGTTCAGCCGTCTAGGCTTTCTCATCTGATATGTCCATTTCATTGTCAGTGTGGCTAGACTACACTTCCTTGTCGCTGGATTGTCTGCTGGCTGCCACAAGTTACCAAATCAGACCTACCAAGATGTGCATAGCTTGGACAGCGACAGTTCTCGTTTGCGGCCATAAACAGTGCGTATGCCATTCCAGTTCTATAAAGAATCTAGCTTTGGTGCTCACTTTGCTTTCCGGATGTTTGACAAGCAGTATTTGTCTCAAACGTTAATCGCCAATTTGGATCACTCACTTCCTCATGACTCCGGTCGCTGTCACAGAAGCTTACCATAACACATTGCCACAGTAGCGAGCTTACGGAATTGGATTATGCACAGTCGTTACAGAAAATCCGATTCAAATGTTTAACTGTTTGATTTTTTTCTCCTGCTATCTCATGAACGTTAGCCGACGGCATTGTTTTAGGCTGCGTAATCATGACTAAGCTTATGTCACAACCACGTTGTCATACTACAACTTCCATATCATTCACACCTGTGCAAGTATCATGTAATACGTGCTTGTTCACGCGTTTGTCCAGATGATGATAGTGGGCTACAATATGTGTCCATATCGTAATGGTCAGCCCCATGAGCTACGCCATTTCCCCGTGAATTTCCAGGATGGGCTGGTCGTCTAACCAAACTTTCGGTTACTTGCTTCCTGATCACATTTAAGCTCACATTCAACATTCACATGTGGTGCATCAGTGGAACGACGAAAACCGGTGGCGGAGATGGATGTCCTGAAGACCAACTCGCCATTGAATTTTAATCGCTAACGTGATACTATCCGTTGTGATGAATATGAAGCTGTATTTCTTGGTCTTCACCAGTGAATATCTGGCGGCTGTCAATCACGTTCCGACAATCAGGTTGGCTGAACACTTAAGGTGCTCATTCAAATCTCAAGTGGACTTCTTCTATCGGAGTATTTATAATTATTGTGCACAAGTCCCTAGAACAAGCAGCACGGTGTTTGTAAACATCAGGATTGTTTGGAACTGCGCAAACCCGACATTGGGCGATCGCAGTGCGGATCCGACATTGCAGGCTGGTGTTCTGAGCCGTTAAGAGAAGATCCTTACAGCACTGCTCGTGGCACTCCCTTTGTGGTTAGCTGCACCGTTTCCATATTTTGCATAGTCTATCGATGGAGTTGAAGATAGTGCACTTATTTCTATCTGCGCGTAATGTGCCTTAAAGTAAACCGATCGCTCTATCGCTTGTTTGGTTGCCTTTTTGTATTCCTCATTCACAGTAATTTTTTCATCCACGTAGATCCCTACGGTCCCTCGCCCATTTGGAGCGAAACGCAAGTTCCGGGTAAGTTATCAAATACCGCAAATTTTTGAACATTTCTCTGATGAATATATTTCATTGCTGATAGTTTATCAGTGACATGTGACTGGAGCTTCTCATTAATGCCCATCCGTCACTTTCTGTTCTACAATCGGTTAACCCCTTCTGTAGCTTAGCCATTTACTTCTATAATGCACCCATTATGCGTCTGCTATGATGCCATTGCCGGTTCAACCAATATTTTTGGGATGTTGTTTTGCTCGCGAAATGGGCAACTTAGTTCCAAACGTTTTTACACCAGACATATTCAGTTTGTTACCAGTAACTGATCTGCAGTCGAATCCGTGGCTCAGTTACTCGTAACAAGTTACTCATCACCGTCATCATGATATGCTGGCTGAAGGTGAGCAACACACTTCATCTATTGGACCGCAAGCTACTACCTGTTACACAGTTAAGATGCCACCTCGGTTGGTGGTGATACGTTTGCAACTAAACTACCCAACTCCTTGAGCGAAACGACACACTGCGAACCTGAGATATTCTACTGTTTCACTGCTTGAAATCGTTCGCCCCTTCTCCGCTTGCGTAAATGGTTTTATGATACACAGTTGAACATTACAGCACACCTATTACAGCTCCTCGCCCGTCATTCCAGTGTGACGAGTGCCATGTTACTTCGACTCGGAATAGCGCAAACTCCGCATTATTGCCTGCTATCTTCCACAAGAGTCGTGCTAACATTAGGGTTTGTGGACTGCCTGAGGTCATGAGCACTACTACAATTGCTGTTACTCTATTCGCATCCATTCAATTCCAGCGCTTGAAATCTGGGAAATTGTGATTGCGGTGTCTGACGGAATATTGTAAATATAGTCTGGGCTGCACTTGTTTACTCAACATTAGTCACTCTTATGGCGAATGGCACACTACACTCTTTGAAAACATATCGAATTGGCATCTTCCTTCATGCTTCTGTGAAGTTGAATGGATCAACATTGGTCTCTAGTATTCCAGTCGGCTTGTTATGATTAAGCATCGTTCGCTCGGTTTGTCTGTTCTTGAAGTGACTAGACCAGTCGAGTATCATTCGTTTTGTGAGACTGGGTTAGACAGTTTGTTTTCCCGTAAAATGCCGAATACGTTGGGTGTAACGTGCGTGCGCGTTACCAGATGGAGTACTGTTTGTGTGCTCGTAGGATTGCGATCATGTGTTGCTGAAGGCACACAGGGTATATTTCATCATTTCCGTTCGAACTATGACATGATTAAATTAGCGGTCTCTTCGACTAGAACCGTTCATTCATCGATCCGTAATTCACTGATGGCAAACTTCTGTTAGTTGCTGCTGAACGACATCTAATTGGACTCTTTTGTCTCCATCAAGCTTTTTGATGCTACTCTGTACTGCTCAACTGTCACACAAACGTGATTTAAATAATTGTTGCGGAATGGAAAGGGCGCAAATGCAAGGGTACAGGAAACAGGCTCACAGCCCTAAGAAAGAATAACCCTTGTGTTGTCTCGCGTACGTTACTTTTACGGCGCTTCTGATACCACGAATTTCGTAAACTATAAAGCCTATCAATGGACGAAACCTGATGATTACGCTGCACACACCATGCTTGGAACATAGGGGTGCTGACGCATCCACGATTGCACTGTGTTGTACAAATTCAAACGCATTCCGTGGTACCAATTTATTCAGTGTAGTCTGATCACCACATCTTAATTCAGGTAGAAGTATGGTGCCTCTCGTACGGGACTAAAGATAGGTCCGGTAAAAATTCAATGTTTGTTTGAAACTTCGCTTTGGTCTGATTCTCCTTCCGTCAGTTACTGTAATTCATCAGACCCCCACAGTAGGTCCCATCGTTAACTGAGGCGATATCCTGTCTTCTGCTCACGCTCTGAAAATTCTCAATCACACCACTAACCGCAATAAAGCCCGTAAACATACTTCCGAAACTTTTCATCCTGCAGTTAATTTTTCCTTACAACCACGATAAACTACATTCTCCGAATCACTCTAAACTGTTACCTTTTTTCTCACATTTGATACTTCTGTTCTCCATTACTCCTTGTTATTTAATTTTCCAACAGGTTGGCATAATGGCAGTGAACTTTATTTACTGTTTGCGAGGTTTGCACACACGTGGCGCCTATCTTCGCATCAAGCAGCTCGCGGAAGACCCTTACGCGAACAGAAAACTACGCAAAATTATCGATACATTATCATACGACGTTTACAGTCAGTGGGTGAAAAAAGGAGAAGATCAAAATCGTGCCGCGTTGTTTGAAAATGCGCCACGTCGGGATCTAATCGAGCCGCCATGTGGCGACGATGAGGAGGAGAATGACGAATTTCCGACGTACCACATGGACATGGTGGACTATGGTGCTTTTGACTATGACGATGAAGAAGGCCTCAGGGAGCCTATCACAGTGAATTACTAGGTGGTGACTACACGACTTTTCAAGTACATAGTAGTGCAGCACTAGTGAACTTGTTCGGCGGGATCTAAACTAGCTTTCTTTACCCATGCACGCTATACACACCCTTCTCAGCATTTCTGAAATCGTTATGAGACTTAAAGCGTGTTCTCACTAGCCTCTTTGAGGTAGCTAAATTTGTCCTCACTGTGATAAACTATTGCACGAGAGATAACCTGCGAACTTTCTACATGGTTTATGTTGTCCATAAATATAGATTTTCCATAGTGCAGTCGCACTAAATGCTTAATTCGTCACCTCACGCGAAAGCAGTAAATCGCCTGTTCTTTTCATTAACGGGAGCACTCGTTGGGGCCCATTTCATCTCTCCCCTTTAATTTCCAGTATATCATCTTACTAGCTTGAGCGAAGTTGGGAGAACGCAGTCTCACTCACTGACCTTGGCACTGCAAGCATGGATCAGTCCCGAGGGACTGTGATGAATGCAGGGATTGCCTTCTGTAGAGAGCCGAAATCCGCATTGAGAGTATTGGTAGATGCCCCCCAGAGTCTGCTAACTAACTCAGAAGTGTCTGTCAGATGCGCTAGCTCATCGTCAAGCGGAGTAGTGCTTCTGTTTGTTGATGGTGCAATCCAAACGCGTTTTGAATATTTAGAAGTAGGGTGTTATCAACCCATGGCTCTCCCCGCTCTGGCTGGTTTAAATGAAAGCAGAGATGTCATCACCAACAGGTCGGTTCGGACTGGTGATTCACCGGCTGACTTAAAGTGCGGGAGCATCCAAGTTTGTACTTATAGGAATAACTTTGTCGCAACAAACCGCTTTATTTACGTGGTGTGTATGGCAGGCATGATCACAAAGTAAATGAGACCCACACTATTGTTGCTAACGGTAGCCACGAAAGTATGTAATAAATAGCTACTGCCTAAACTGGACGAGCGGTGTCATGAGGGCTACTTTATCTTTCAGCGTGTGCATTGTTAAAGGCAGATGTACCTAGTCAGAATCGGGTTGCTAAAGATTCACCATCATCATCTTCAACAGCAGTAAATCAGCCATTTGAACTGACGCTTCGCTGCCATACAACCATGTGGACCTATGAAATAAAGAATAAGAAGAGGAAGAGAAGGGATACTTACCTGAAAACCTTAATGCACTAAGCAAACATTCAGGGTCAAGGCGTCTACACCTTGTGTAGATGACATACCGTCACAAACAGCTGACTATCGTGCAAAGATAAGGCAGCATCGGCGAGACAACTTCCTTGCGGCTTCCACTGCTCTGCGTCATAATCAGCCATTATCCCGCAGATAACTCATCGCTAAACACACTTTAAACAGGCAATCCGACTAGGAGAAGACAGTAGGCACGTCACTGGTGTCGACTGCGAGCCATGTCCTGTAACATCTCAAGCCAAGTACAAGGCGAGTCACGAAAACTCCAGCTTGGAGGGCGAGACGAATTGACGGCACCGAGTTTGGTAGCCAATGACTTCATTTCCCGTTGTCAAGTCAACTTTTGCCCACCTCCAGCCTTGCGCCACCCTGCATTTGACAGAAAAAACAAGGTCCTCCTCGGTAGGCGGTGACCGAGCGTACGTAGTACGTGCCCGAGCCAATGCAACTTATTCAGTGCTATCTGTTGTTCTAAGAAACTTGCTTGGTTATCACTGCCCAGTGCTCGCCTACGCACATCATCGTTGCGAACACACTGGTGCCACCCGACACCACCAATGCTCCGCAGACAGCAATGATTCAAGACTGGAAGGCGCCTCAGTCCGAAGAGGCCAAGCTTGACTTCCATAGAATGGGACGGCTCTCACTGTGGCCTTGTAAACATAATCTTTCAGATGGAGGAAAACCATTTTGTCGCCTGTATCTCGCTGGTTGCAGATTGTTTTTAATACACGATTTGCGTTCACATCAGTGTTCCAAAGACGTGCGGTCATCCAAACAGTCGACGACGCCCGTGTGAGCTTCACTCACATTATTGTCCAAACTGGGTTTTCGGATAGATAACTGGAACATACGTCGTCGTGCGTGTACTGTGGAGGGAGTGACGGTGCACTTACGGAGAAATGCATATCATATACATATATACATATACATATCATATACCTGGTCAACATAAGAGGTCAAGCACGATAACATTTCTCAGCGCCAGTCGCATGCTGGTACATGTCCTTACAGAAGGCAGAGCAGATGCGTGAAGGCCGGACGATCGGGTGAGAATAGCGTGCAATGAGGTGAATGATCGTTTGGGACAATGAAGTCAGCGTGGCAATTCGCTCACAATGGAGCAGCTAAAGCTATTACAGCGAAGACTGTTGTGAAGCTGTCTTCGTACTGCTGCTATTCTGTGCCTGCGAGACTACGACCGTCTAATTGCTCCGTCACGCGCCCAACCAACCGACGGGATACAGAAGGCCAAGGCTCGGTAAACAGGGAGTCTATTCTACACGATAGGTCAGTTCTATTTATTGGTGAACGAAACATACTAATTTTGGAAGCGTTTGACTCTCAGCCAATGTGAGTTAATTCCGTCCCACGGATTTTCCATATTTGGCAGAATGGTTCGCCTCCGTTGACTCGGGCTTGTATTTGCTGGCCAATCAGGTTGCACCCGATTCTCAAGTTTGGAAAAACAGTTGAAGGTCGTCCCACGCTCGTGCTGGTGACCTTCGCATGCAGCGGACAGCTCACGTGCTCCGCGGTAAGCCTGTGCGCGACCTCGTATCTGGACATGGCTCCGCTTACCTCTCTATTAAAGACAGTTATCACAGGATAAGGAATGACAGTCGGGGAATCATTGAATGTCTAACATGATAACGCATCCTAAAAACAGCTCTGAAGTAGAAAAACTCATTGAGTGTCGAATCCGCCGTATATTCGGCTTGATCATAACTATGCTTGTTGGCTTAGCGATGTTGAGGAAAATATAGAAGAGACGATATTCTTCGCTGGAAGGAAAACATTACAATATTTTGTGAAAGGGAGAAAGGAAAAATTCAATGGATATTTATAGCTTTTGTGCTGCGGTGAATCCGCACCGCAAATTCGTATCTTGTTGCGAACTTTTCTTACCCGAGCTATCATCATTGCCATCGGTGAGCGCTCCTTCTCAACACCGAAGCTTGTACAGAACTACCTTCGGTCAGCTATGAACCCGAAAACGCTCACGGACTTGGCCATTGTCTCCATAAAGAAGGGACCGAATTTCGATTGGGGTTATTGATAGTTTTCGCGCCACGTGTGTTTGCAAATTTTGTGCACGAGCATTGTAACAATTAACAAATGCCAACACTTACAACTGCACTCTAAAATTTTCGGTTATTTTTGTTGTTCTATGAAACGCCCTATTGAACGGCTGTTCGCAGATGTGGTTTACGCAATTAACTACTAGCAGAGGTGCGAAAAACGAACGACTGCCCTGGGCGGCATAAGCAGTGGCTACACACCTGCTTGCTGGAAGTATTTCCATTGAGATCGTGGTAAACATAAGTTTTGCATTCCCTTTGTGCTCTGACAGTTCGCATTGATCATCATGCCACGCGGTAAATCGGCGTCCATTCGCCCGCACTGGTTTTACGTGCTAGGTACTCGATCAACGACCATAACCTTGACCCATTCGGTCTAGCCTGCTATGTCCACTGGCTCACCAAACGCCAACAGAGATATGCGAGAAATCATAATTGCACGTCATGCATCTGTATTTAGGTGTGAATCCATTTCTCAAGCTGTCACGCGGTTGTACTACCATGTGGCAGCGAAACCGGTTATGCGACGCGACCACGCGCACTATTTGCCCTGGACGCCAGTGTTCTCTCGAATACAGAACTGGCCATTTCTACCAGCGTATAATATGCACTCTGACCTGACATCACAATAACGTAAGCATAACGCTCGTCCACTCACCGGGGGCTTACTGTCCACGCAATGAGTTACATAACAATTATTTTTGGTGCATTAATCCCTTGTGGATTTGTTGATGCCTTTATATAACCCTCAGTATTTCGGCAATTTACTTTCCAGATGTCCTAGTTCTCGGAATTCTGAAACCTTATCTGCATTATCTAAGGTTTTTCATAAACGAGTAAGGCACACCAGTACGAAGTAGACAAAAATCACTCGCACGTCTCATTGAAAGCGTCCTATGCCATTACCTAACGCTGGACATCAGATATCGCTGCAACCCCCGTACGAATGTATAACCGTACGTACGTGCATACATATTTCGCCGAGACTTTGAATTTCCTTGTGTCCCTACTCGTATCTAGTGGTATACACTATACAACCAGATATCTAAAGTGATGAGCCGAAATGTAATCAAAGCACGCCACTTTTTCCAAACAATCAGGAGAATGTACACGGATGTGTCGAATCGCATTACGACATCACACAACACTGATCTCATTGATTGCTGTCCTGGCAATGCGTTCCAGGAACTGCAACTTCCATTCCATTTGCGTCATGAGGTTCTGGGGATCCCTGGCCAGAAGTTTATGGTACTGCATTCGCATTCCATTCTTCACTCGGGCCTTCACCACCTGCCAAACATTTTTGATGCGATTGAGGAACGGGGAGTATGGGCTCAATCTCAGAATGGTAACCCCTTCGTATTCTTCGACTGACGCAAGTGCTTCCAAACGTGTGACATGGTGCATTGTCACACACTACGACCATCTGCCGGAGCTCCACTTCCCGCTTCAGCTCGTCTAAAATGCCTCGCAGCCATTCGAGAGATAGGGGGCCAATGAATGAGCCTCTCCGAGTAGTCATCGAAACGTTTCCAGTTATTGTGAGTGCACCGATGAGATGCGAATTCAGGCCTCTACTTTTGGCTACTTTTACACAGGCCCTCACTCCTCTGGGCGCCCGACCACGAGTACGGTTGCAGTAAAGGTTGGAGTTTGTTTCGTCGATCCATGTGAAGAATTTCCCCTCACTTTCAAGTTCGAGAAACTTTCGAATAAAATCCTTTCGTATCGCTTTGGTTCGATCATTTTTCATTCTTTCTGGAGTCTGATAGGTGTTCTTCATAGTTATCAAACGACCATCCAGATGTTCTGCGATTATAGACTTTGAAATGTTCTTATCCATATTGGCACGTACTCGGACTCGCATTTTGTGTAGTGTTACGGTTGCGTCCTTCGCGATCCACTCGAGGATGTCGTCAATGTCTTCCTCTGACAGAATGTGCTTACGACCGCGCGCCTGCGTAGTATCCGGCTTCTGATCAAGAGAGCGACGAATCTAGGAGTAGGCATTTGATATTTCACATTGTTCACGGTTGCCACGAGTTGCCATTCGTCACCGTTGACGAAGGCATTCACAACTCGGTCACGAATGTCTGACGAGATACTGTGTCGAACACAAGAAGGCATGTTAACCACGCTGGAATGAAAGACATCCATTCAATCGTGCGCTTATATTCCGGCCGTTCATTGCTCATAGATTAATTGTGATCCAGCGTTTCGGACGTTAGGGGGGGGACGCATAGTAGCTCGTGGCGCCGCCCATGTCCATGGACTCGAGGTGCATTCACAAGTCTCACCTAGTCAACGGGCAGCGCGCTCACTTCACTTGATATACGCACCAATCCCTAGCGCCCGGCCAATGAGAACACACTTGAGGTCAAAAAATTGGCTTAGAGCGGCTGGCGAATCGTACAGTTTTGCAAAAATTTGAACTCTGCAAAATTTTGTACTTTTTATGCAACTTTGTGGGAAATGCTATAGTAGCACTGCGTAGTAGCGTGATCAGTTCGTGATAGAATACGCCGTTGGCAGCATCAGAACTGCAGTCGGTGGGAGCATAAGTGGAAACCACGGACAAACAGCGTCATCTACTACTTTGTGAATTAACCTTAGTTGATCTCGTCAAACGGGCTGCTCACCGGAATCCAATCAATCAACGATGACTAAGTCGTGGAGTTCAGAAAGAGACCTACACCAGATTGACGTGAGTGCTGCATCGGCGTCTCCGGATGCGTGCAACCAATAGAGAGAGAACAAGACGAGCGCAGTTAACACAATGATCACACGAAGGTCACTGATCCTAGTTTCGGATACACAACACACGTCAATACCCAGTGCGGCCAAGGTGCGTGCGAATGCAGCCTGTTGACCTATTTGTCTTAGAGTGCGGATACTGAACACCACCAGAGAAACGGGACAGCGTGGCCTTATATTGGGCTGTTGGCGATAAGCATCCAGTCGGTGTTGTGGGTAGGTAGCTGCAGATGGCTCGACTCCGATGACACCACAGCTGCCGTCGATTAAGCTAGGAATTATAGGAGGAAGGTTAGTAATGGGAGTTGGGAGGGATTAAGACGAAGAGGTGTAGAAGAAAAGAGGCTCCAGCAGTAGCATGTTTCCGCTTGTCCGCCTTGCTGTAAGGCGACCCTTGATAAGCTAGGCGACAGCTGATGCAGGATGCACTGGAATTCTGTGGAAATGGTTATAGTTGTATGTGGGCTGAAATACTGCCAGGGCGTCCATACCTAGACAGAAGCCTTCGGCCCAAAAGAGAGGGTGGCAGTGATTTAGTTTAACATAAATGTATGCCATCCCATTTCAAACCCCAGCATGGAGGACCGAAAGATTGAGTTTGTCCGACCTCTAACTATTGACCAACCTGGTAGGACTAGCTCGCAAGGGTGTCCGGGGGCACCACCCATTATAGCTCAATGCGTCAAGGAGGTACGCAAACCAGCGCACCATGTTAAGATCCATTCCCGTTGCGACAGCTTTTGGTGTACAGGAATCGCAGTGGATTTTGTCGGCACCGCACTGTGAGATGTAGTTAAACGATCGTACTGATAGCATGCAGCATTGGCTCAGCACCTGATTACCAATGGCGAGAACGAAACGATATGGGCGAATAAAGAAACTGATTGGAGCTGTGTTCACTGTAGGATTTGAATCTGGGGTTAGCCTGACGAACAGCTTCCACAATACACGGGCGCAGTCTTATATGGAGTTGGCATCGTATCCCTTTAAATTTTAGCGCGACTAATCACTAGCCTGACATTTGTTTTCGCTTGGACTGCGGCGTGGACACGATGTTGCGCGCGACGAAAATTGTTGGACCCAATACTAGCCATCGAACAGAGAACGTGACACCTGTTTTGTATCGCAGTATTAGAGAAATGCTTTGCACGGATTCGTGAACTAAAGCGAAATTGTATGGTCGATGGGTTAGGGTTTGTACAGTAACAAATAAATTGTAAAATCTGAACGGTGCGAAAGGCTGTTTACTAGAACGGACAGATCGAAATGTTTACAACCATTTCATGTTATTGCGTAATTACTTAAAAATACTATGATCACAAATTTAAAGTTTATGCAACAGAGAGTAATCCAAATTGTTTGCTGGTTTTTCGACCTGTGGATGAATCAGTGTTCTACCAAAACATGACAAATTCTCGTGTTGAAAAGAATATGAAACGAAAGGTGCCATTGATCAACAGTTATGTAGGTGTTCATTTAACTCGGACAAATGTGTTGCCCATAATTCTATCAGGCGCGATGGAAACCGTTCTGAAAAGCGTTCAGTAAGTGCAAATCCCCTGATCGGCGTTGTGCAACCGTTGTTTCGGAAGGCTGGGCTGTTTTCTCGAATGACGATAGTGCACTATTTTCATTTCTTTTGTAAAAGTTTGCATTTTTGATGACGCCAATTGAATCAGTCCACTGATAATGTAAAATGCTGAAAATGTATTCATTTGCGTACTTGACGCGGTCGAAATTTCTCCCTTCAAATGTGTCTGCCGTGGGACACTCCCCCAGCCTATGTTGTTCTTGCCCTCAACCTAACGATATACAGAGTGCGATTTGACGCATCATTGTCCCACTCATATGAAATGAAATATGAGTAGGACACTGATTCGTCAAATCGTGTGTCAGTCGAAGGCCACATAACGCGGGCAAACAGTGTGTTAAAAAAATTCTAACTAGCGCGTGAGTGTCTCGGCTCATTTGCGCATGTCCCAATGTGAACAGTATGGTGAGTCCACCAAAACCCTTCTCACTTTATACTCGTGCTCTTTCTTCTAAATCCATTCCATCCCTAAGAATTTGTTAAGCAATGCTTGTTTACTCGTAATACACCATTGTTCCATTCTGAGTTGTTACTCTATGGTGTGCGTTGACTAGTTCGCCTGCAAACAATCCATTGGTCTAAGCATAGTCTGAGTGTAAATCGGCAATATTTTTTTAGAGTAGCCAGACACCGAGGTTTTGTCATGAATTCGTTCTTTGTTCGAATATGAAAAGGGGATTTTATGCAGCCAAGCCACTAAGGTATCTCACTTCGTTTGCGTAGATCACTAACGGCATCTCATTCTTATTCATACTCTCAGGCGATTGTAGCGTGATTGTGTTGGTGGTTATTTTTGGAATTAAGTAGGAGCAATCAGAGTACTGTACCCCCTTCAGTACAGCGGAAAATTGGTTCACAAAGCTTGCGTTAAGTACCGTACTACTACGTTTGGTGGCTATCCGGATCATTGTCTGCCAGCATCAATAATCCTTGCACACCAGGCATGATTGTAGAGTGCAACACGTGGTCACATGACCTGGATGCACATTAGCTGTCGCCTAAAGTTTCACTGGGGTTTGTGGATGTATGGTTTCATGAAAGTAGCAAGTACGATCGATGGCAAGGACCTACTTTGCATTTCTAATGATGGTTAATGAATTAAGTTGTATGACGGAAATGCGTTCTCATCCGTGGAAGCAGGGTCCCTGCAAGTGCGTACGTCGAGTGGCAACCGACCATGACCGGTCCAGTAGGTGAGTGCCAAATTTCTTTGGGGACGACCGAATGAAAATCAACTATGTAAAGTGTAAGAATTGTCTGGCAGATCGATCAACAGTCGAGGCCGACGACTATGGATGGCAGGCCAACGATAGCAACATGCTTCGCTGCTTTGGCTGTCGCTTGATTGCATACATGTGCGTTGCAACTGATAGACAGATGGGACTGTCAACTAACAAAGCGGTACACCCCAGCTAACAGCAGTTTGTAGAACATCGATACGGCTACGAAGGACAGGCTGCACTAACAATGCCATATTTGTCTAGGTTGATCGCGTAGTTACACAAAACCGGGCCGGTCAAAAGACATTTCAGGTATCGCTATCCAATTCATCTTGCCGTTTGCGCTATAGACACTCGGATTTATGACGATATTTGCTACCTAGAAAAATACTTGGATTTTCCCCCATTTGTCAGTCATGAGGTGGCTGCAAGCACTTAGCACCGGTTAGCAGAACCCGCATGGGATACATATAGGATAATGTATTTCAGAACAGTGAAGTATACATATCAGAACCGCAGTGCCACGAGAGCCAAGTTTCGAGGTGATATGCCGTAATCGAAGAGACGAACGAGACAGCATGGGTGACCTTCGAATAAGAAATAAAAAGAGTGAATGACGTCAAATAGTCTACTAATGGTAATACGTGGTAAGGTCAAACGGGGCTGGAGTGGTACGAACCTCGTAAGCAGCATTCATTTAAAATAGTTCATCTGGTCTTGATTTCGGAAGCAACTACTACTAGGGTAAGGTCACGGGAATAAAAATAAAATGACGAAGATTAGGGATGTTTTTACTTTATTGCCTGTCACCAAATTGGTAAAGAGATCTAATGGATGTGTCATACGTGTAGCGTGTACATCGCATTTCAAACAACAGTGACGCAAGCAAGTGGAACCAAGTAGCCATTCGTATTTGCATTGGTCCGGGTTTAAAAAGGACACATGAATTGTCCCACATTTGTAGGGATGTGTTCAGTACTAGAGAAGAAAGCATCGAGAGATGGATGTGCTTTGGGTTAAACTAGCGTGACGTCTGATACCTCCAAACGTGTAAACAGACGCGCGGGAATGTATTCGCACCGTGCAGTCGTTATGCTAATGAATGAAGTGCATATGACCCGGAAGCTATGTCCATTTACATGCACCGTGTGGTTTTAGGCTCGTCCAATTTCAGTGCACAGAAATGGGGAGTGAAACTGATATTTACTACAAACGATATGATCCAGGAGAAGACTAGCAAAACGCGGGCTCACTTTGAGTGAAATAGCTATAACCTTCCGGAAACTAGATATGACAGGATGGCTCATGGTAAATGTGGAATCGGAAAGGTACAGTGCGCAGAAAGTAATCCTATGCGCGAAAGACCTCGCCAATGAGACCGGCCTTTATCCCGACATACTTATGTATTAGCAACAGTCTAACGAATAGACATAGAGCCAAGCAAAACCATGGAAATCATAAGAAGTATACAGGTTTAATTACCACATCACCATGGCGCATTAGCTGAAGGTGAGCAACACACTTCAGCTATTATGCCGTAGAAAGAATATAACTGTTTTTTTACTATTTCGCACGCCATTCTTCATTTCTCTTCTTCATTTTTTGCCGTTTTCAACAGTTATGCATTATACATTTGAATCCAAACAAGCATGTACACAAATCTTCCACTGGTTTAGACTACGCGCCATATCCTGAATTGTTTCTGGCCATCGGCACTCTTCGTCCTTTGGTCCCCAACCAGGCAGGCATGTGAGTCCAGCGGCAGCAAGACGCAAAGTAAACGATTTCATATGCTGACGCCAAGTGGACGGCTGACCACCACGCGGTCTCTTCCAGCCAAGCCCTGCACGAGCGAAAAGGGCGCAATAAGGCAAACGCTCAGTTGACATACGCAAAACGTGACCGAGCCATCTTAGCTGATGCAGCACAACTAACTTGTTGTGGAGCATACTCGCATCCCCTAAGACACGATGTCGGACCTCCCCACTGGAAATACGTTGCTACCACCACACACCAACAATCCTCCTCAAGCACCCATTATCAAAAACCGAGAGCCGGCGCATGTCATCCACGCGAACTGACCACGACTTACCTCCACATAGCAACACCACCCGAATAGTGTCACTGTACACGCGACCCTTTACCAACAACCACATCCCGACGATGCCACATGTGCTTCAGGTTGACGGGCTGATCGAGCTTTGGCGATGCGGAGAGAAACTTTCTTCTTAATAAAGCCACCAGCAGACACGCAGCTGCCCAGGTAGACTATCCTGATCTACGATGGGGGTGGTTTTGTACATACCTACTTACAGCTGTGCTCTGAGATATCGGATGTGTGCTCTGCGTCTTGCTACCCATGTGTAAAGACATCCACATAGATCATTGCGTTCCTAATCAGAAGTGGTCCGCACCCTAATATGTTTGGTTACAGTGCGTTCTCTTCATGAACGTTCAGGTAGATTTCATAAATCTTATCCGCCCATGGTATCAATTTTTTATTTAGCCCTCCGAAGATCATCAATCGAGCACCCATGTGAGCTAACTCCGTGTGGCCTCCAGCTGATCCACTTTTTTCGCATTTGTTCAAACTTTGAGTTGAGTCAATTCGGATCAGCCACAGAGTGTATCTTAAGATTGCGCCTTTTTAGTGATTTCTTGAAGCTTACACATGCCTTTCCCGATGGCTCGCATTCTAACTTTTTGCATGAGAAAACAGCTGTCCTGTATTCTCCTTGTTATATGAAGATAATGGTATGGACCATCCAAGTTATAATGCGCATGGTTTCTCTCGAGACTATTTGACAATTAGTAGCGTTAATATCAGCCTTTTCACCCGATAGAGTATCTTCATAGGTTCAAAATGCTTGACTGGTTGCTTTCACGAAAATGTAACTACGTTTGCGTAAATGTCTAGCGCTTCAACGTCGCACGTACAAACCGAGTCACCTACAAAGGTGTGCAAACTAGAAACAGATTTTTCCACATTGCGTTCAATACACAGGCGCTGTGTTGAATGGCCTCACTGCCCGCCTCAAACTAATTACGAAAAGTCTTCAGTCCAAGCGCCCGTGACACTTTGGCCAGCGAGAATCACGTGATCTATGCATGGCCCGTCAAGGTCACTATTGACCCGGACCTCTAGGTTACTCAAATCACACAAGCCAAGGCCTCATCCGAAAACATGGCATGCTATATGCTTGATGCAAATAATAAACGCATCTGGATGGATTCTAAACATCTTTGTTGTCTCAGTTCACAATCGATTTCGAATGCTCCTCGCGCTGTTTAGCGCGTTCGACTGACATAAAGACGCTAGCTAGGTTCGATCATGGCTGCCTTCGCAGTTGTACTCATAACTGGTGGGAACACTGCGTGAACGATGAGCGTATTCCGTGCCTTGTCTATGGCACACAAAGAGGAAGTGAACCACTCAGCACCGCAATTTCACGCACCAGGTTCCGGTGGCTGGACATGCCAGCACACCGATTCCCGCGACGTGCGTTGTTTACATGATCAGGGTGTACATAGGAGAAGGGTCGAGGAGTCCAAGCGACGACTTGATCAATAGGAATGAAAACCCTCACTTCGAACTCTGCGTCGGTTTGTGTCTCCCGACTGCTGGGTTGGGGCACAAAAATACATGGGCACGTTTGGTCGGATACATTTTTGACATCACAAAGAGCCCATTTCAGTGGCATTTATGTTGCCAGTTTCTTTGTCCCTCCCCATCCCGCTTAGCTTCCTTTACGAACTCATACCGTATGCAAAATATAACACTACGCATTAAATTGTTTTTTAGTTCCTTTTGTCTGTAATGTTTATTGTCCCATCTTCTTTGTAATTCCGACACATTAGCTACGGTGTGTTTCTCACCATCAGCTATCTTATATAAATGGTGATGAACGCTTTCAAGGTAGACCAACACAAGTTATGTTCAAGGTATATATACCATGGTGCGCGTGCATGAGTTCTGCGTGTGGTCAGCCTAGCGCAGATCCCAAGGCTACTACAGTCACGTCTTATCACCATTCCCTTGCGGCCGAACTACAGAGTCAGACTCCGGATGAATCCCCCCAGACAATTCACGATGCACCTCGCTGTTCTGTGTGTCAGAAGTGAGAAATCTCGAACAAACTCCTCTCGCTATGGACAGCCAAAGGACTCCGTCATTGGCTTTCTACTCCCTTTTCTTCATTTTGTAAGCGTTCAATCTATTCTTTACTAGTTAGCGAACAAGATACTGCCAATCACTTCGCAACTTGTGTTAATGACATGCCGAAGCGCCATGGCTCTTTTCACTGTTCCTACCCTATAGTAAACTATTAGCAGCTGCACCTATTTTTAATTACATGTCTTCTGAAAGGTACCTCCTCGTGGTGCCAGCTGGGTGGTTCGGGATTTTCACGTTCCAGCAAATGGTTCGGCGGCAGTGTTCCAGGACGTGGTGGGATTTCGCCTGGCAAGTGTTCTCCATATAAAAAGCCACAAATGTCCGTTTAACAACACTGTGACGTGGCGAACATGATTCGACACAAAGTAAAGTCACTGTCTCTTGCTTCATCCTGGCGAAGCATTGTATTCCAGCAACGTTATGCTGTAGTTTTGGGGAGCACTGGGCCCCTGTTTGACAAAGGAACAAACGAAAGGCGTATGAACTGAGCAATCAGTCACCGGCTCGCAATGGGCGCGATTCCCTGAATTCGCTCCGATGCCTTGCGGATAGGCTATTCAGCCAAAGGCTCGGGGTGGTGTCCCCTAAGTCAACACCCTACTTCGGCTTGGGCAACCGGGTAGTATCTCGCCCTCTGACGAAAGCATGGACTTAAATGTGTTGTGTTTTCTTTCAAAATTTCTGTATCTTCTTTTGAGTTCCATGGTTTTTCATGGCTCTATGTCTATTCGTAGACTGTTGCAAATATATATATATATATATATATATATATATATATATATATATATATATATATATATATATATATATATATATATATATATATATATTACTGGTTGATGTTTGTGAGTAGTGTAAAGTTCGAAGAAAGAAGAAGCCACGATTAAAATTCACGCACAATAATATGCCTCGACGGGGAGTCGAACCCCGGTCCACGAATTTCCGGTCCGTTGCTCTACCACCTGAGCTACCGAGGGCTGACGATTAGGTGCGCAAATTTTAACACATGTCTTCTGCTTGGTGCGCGACGTGTTGCCAATAAGCTCACAGTACCTGTCCTGATGTTGCAGATTGGCTCACTCACCCGTCACTTCCCAATAGACCGAAGTTCCTGTCCTTCAGACGTCCATATATATATATATATATATATATATATATATATATATATATATATATATATATATATGGTTTGCTGCATCCGGTTTCGGATTTGCCTGTCACTGTGGCCAGCCACAGGACGCCTGCGCCCACAGATGGACCATGGGTGGCTTGCGCTGCACCACCCACAGCTCCATCCACACACCCCATATCCAGTGTAAACCCGAAGGAATAAAACCGGGAGGCATGCGGATGGGAACCACGTTTCATCAACGGAGCCGGCCCACACTCCTTCACAGACAAACACAAGCACGC